TACATTAAAGCATTTTTTTGAAAATATACAGTAAGGTTCCATATTACCACCCGATTTTCTCTAAGCCTACTTTCGGACTTTTTGTACAAAAGCCTTCAAAAACCATACTTATAATTACACTAGCGAAAAATCCAATTAGGAACATTTAGATTACTAGTTACCGGTACTTTTCGCACAAAAACTGTGGGTGTAGTTATGATACCTTGTTTACAATTCAATAAATTGTAATTGGGGTTCCATAATACCACCTTCTCCTCTATTCATAAATACCTGACTAGAAGGGAAGTAGCCACCATTAAGACGTTGTTTATTCATCCAATTGACAATTAAAAGAGATGTTGACATATTTTCTAATTGCAACTGAGCTAACCCGTCGGCACGCGCGTGCTCCGTCAAATTTAAATTACGCGCGCTTGGTCAATTAGGCACCGATTTAAAAAATTAATTAATTAAAATTTATATTCGAAAAACGGGTACTTTTACTTTAATCCAGTTCTACGAAATGTTTGTAGTCGAATTTAGTCAAAAAATTTTAATTTCGTTATAATTTTGTTGATGATTTTAATTCTTTAATATTAGAAGGTAATTAGCATAAATTACATAGTGTCGTGTTTCGTCTTCGCTCCCGTTCAAGTTTACAGTCCTAAATTCGCGCGGATGTTTGTTTTTACTTCTACTAGTGTTTACGCTTTTATTTCACTCTCGTCCATTTTTGTTACATACGATGGGGAGACGGGCATCACGTAATCGCTTACCTCACTTTTTACCTCAGAAATTACCTTACCTTGAAAGATTTATTTTTTTTCTCGATTTTAATTATTATTAACTAACTTGTTTTGTTAGATTTTCATACATATGTGTTTTCTGAAGTTGCAGATATTTTTCTTATTAAGTTTTACGCGTTTATGTTTTTTTATTCGCATTTTATATGTAAAATGAAAGAAAATTCAAAAATTAATTAAATGTTATTAGAAATGCTAAACTATAAGAACGATGAGTTTTAGAGTACTATTGCGAATAGACGTAGTCAATTATTTTGTAAACATATTTATTATTTTAATTTTTATAAATCATTTAATTTGATGCAACGCGACGCGCTCAAAATCGATCAATTATAGACGCGCGTAATTTAAGATGGCGGCGGAACCCGATTTAATTACTTCTTCATTCCAGATGTTAATTACAGAGTGCTATTTTAATGAAATTTTAGACATAGTATATGGTTATTATGATTAATAAATTCATATAAGAATAATATATATTACTGACTGTAGTTTAAAGCTTACTTGGCGCGATATAACGGCAAAATGTATAAACCAAATTAATGCAATTTTTACTGATATACAGTAAATGCTTGACTACGATTAAATCCTTGATTTTTCTACTATCTAACAGTATAAAATACTTGTTGTAAAAATATAGAATTTTTATTTAAATAATAAAAATTCTATTTTTTTATTTAAATTTATTTAAAAACCGCTTATAAGTTTGTTCCAGTGCAACCAGCGGCAATTTTGTGAGCGCTGATCCGACTTGAATCATAAAGTTTGAAGCTTCTCACACACTATACGATATTTTTTTTTATATCTTATGCTCCTCTTTTTGCCGTCTGCGAGTGCCGCTGCTCAGTTCTCTCTCACTGTGCTCTATTAAGATTCTTGCAACTAATTTCCTCATTACTCTACTTAGTAGTTAAATCAGAAACCACAATTTAACAGAATTTGTTGCATAACAGTATCCAATTGAATTCTAGTTTCTTCTACCCGTTTCCAGTAACGCTGATATAGTAGTTTCCAGTAACGCTGATATACTTGAATTTGTTTCAACAAGACTGTCTGACAGCAAATTTCTTAAATGATGGTAATGAAGGACTGGTATTGATTTTTAAAAGGTAGACGAGGAAGACAATGATGGTGAACTATATGAAAATGTGAAGATGGTAATAATGCTTTTAATATCTGCAGAAGTCTGTATCTAAATTATAAAACGTTGAAACTTTTTCCATGCACGTAGAGCTAAGTTTACAGACATGTTAATTCGTAAACTCCGATCAAGAATACTCACATTTTCAATTTTCTGGGCTACCAAGCAGCGTCGTAACTAGACTTTTATGCGCCCGGTGCGAGTTTTTGTAACTACGCCCCAAAACTATGACCCAAAACTTGGTCCAGTGTCATTTCTGCGCCCTGTGCCTGGGAACTGCTGGCACCGCCCTAGTTACGGCACTGCAACCCAAGCAATAATAAAAATGACATAAAGTATTATTCAACTTTTAATAATTGGCAAGTGTTAAGGACATTGACAGTTTGTTAATTAAACACCTAAAAATTCTGATAGTGTGAAAGAATACGTATTAATAAACACTTTATAATTTTGTCAAAAGAGTTTATTAATCAACCCATATTGAATAAAACGATTTCAAATTTTGTGAAATTTTTAAACATAAAAAGACGAAGAAATATTAAATATAAATTACAGAAAGTAATTTTTATAATACGAAAATATATAAAAAAATAATATTTTCAATCATATTTACGGTTATTCAAATTTAAAACACAACGCCTTTTTATGCAAATTACGTTAAATAATCGACGTGTGTGAGCTTGTAGGTGCTGTAAGATAAAGTGATTTGTCTGTATAAGTCGACGAAAACTCAAAGAGGAAGTAAGGATTTTTATATTGTGTGAGTATTTTAAATATTTTAAAATTAAAATAATCTCTGACAATTAAAACTTCGTATTGTTGTAAGTGAAATCTAAATTGTTAAATGAAGGGTGTCTTATTCGGTGGATTAGGAAAACAAAATTGAATCTTCGGGCAAAGCTTATATTCTTTATCAGTTATTTAGATATTAATACTTAATAAACGAAGATGAGCCAAATTCTAACGAACAAAAAAACAATGCTTCAGGATTGCACTACTCTGCATACAATAAACACAAATTACTGATGAACACATACAAATTTTTCCATACTAAACGATACTTGTTTAGTCGAATCTGAGCAACCGTTTTCTTTACAATAAACGGCAGTTGTTGATAATATACATATAGACAGCGACATTTATCTAGTATTTTTGAGTACCACGTATGGTATTTTGCTTTGAGTATCCTCTTTCTTCTCTAAAGAAAAAAAATAATCAAATTCACATAAGATAGTGTTGGTGTAAAATTTCGTAACATTTGGTGATAGATCAATTATGGAAGGTGAAAAACCTATTCTATTAAGCAGTCTCTCCAGTTATTATGCACAATTTTTAATAGCCTGTTCTATGAGTTTCTTCAAAGAAAATATGCCACATATTCCAAAGGGAAAGCATCAGAAATAATATTTTTCAAAAATTTAAGGGTTTGTTTAACCTTCTTGAAGTCCCTAGGAAAAAGTTTAGCTTTGAAAATTCTAAGGTATTTATCAACCTCGCATCCGATTGTAAACTCTGTCTCGGTTAAAGATCCGATACCAATTAACTGAGAACTATACGGATATGCTATTCGAACTAATCTATTACTTCTAGTTTCGCTATTGTTTTGTTTTGTGTTATTATAAACCTATATATTTGGATATATTTCCTCCAACTCCTCCAGAAAAATTGCCAAGATGCAGAGTCAAGATGATCGGAAAGATAGTCAGCATAATCGTTCTCCAAGTACTCCGGAAGCTAAATGTTCAAAGCTAGAGCATTACTTTAAGAGACAATCTCCTTCGGACATTAATAAAGAAGGAATGTTATCCTTACGACAGTATTTAGAATCACAGTTAGTGCTGCAGTTGAAGTGTATCGAACATAAGTTTGCTAATTTGGAATTGGCTAATCAATTAACTTTGTCCTTAGTAAGAAAGCTAGAGAACGTCCTTTCTAAATTGTGTTTGCGTTTAGTAAGTTGGAACAACACGATCAATTTCCTTTGGATAATGTCGGAGAGTTGCACTCCTTCGCATACAATAAACAGGTTAATGCTTCCAAAAAGAGCTAATTGATGTCGTTTAACCATAGTGATCCGCATGAGTTACCGTAGATATCCAGGAATATATAGTGAACTTATTGTCTAAGGAATTGGACGCAATTAATTTATGAGGGCAAAATTTTGTTGGTATTTCCCAGGGGCAATTCCTGACTAAAATTTTTTGGCATGCTATAAATTATAAAAATAATAGGCCTATCTCTAGCACTAAACAATAGGCAGAAACGTCATTTGATGTGAATGGTAAAGTATGGACTATTATAAAGCCCCTATGTCTGCACATGAAATATATTAGAATGAAAAAGTATAAAAAATTTATGATAATTCAATTTTTGTAGATCCTTGACACTAAGGACCCAGGGCTTAAGCATTATTACATAGATCGGCCTACTAGATTACATAGATCCTACTACGTAAATCCGCCTCTGTACACAATACACGTATGTCGACTGAGTACCGCAAGCATGGCACTGACTTAAACAGCTAACTGTTAGCTGCCAATATAAAAGCTAACACAAATAGTAAAAGTTTACACGTTAAAATAAATTATTATTATTATATTTGTTTTCATATAAAAAGTATATCGAGTCAAAACTTTTTCTTAAGCATGCGGCAATGCCAAGCAAGCACTGAATATACTTGTATCTCAACTTTATGGTTTGGCTTATGGTAGTTTAGAATATAATTTAGACTCCGTGCATGTTTTGGAATTCTTATGGTTTTGGTACTAAACGTTTATTGTTCTTTCAAAATTTGGAACCTGAGGTCGAGTATTCCGTGTTGAATATCTCCATTTTCTCATCATTTTCCAGTCGGACTATATTTATCTACTGGTAATAGACCATCTTGGATAGAGATGTGTCGTTTTGCGAGGACCCGTTTTGTTTGGAGTAACTCCAAAGTTAAAATGTTCGAGGTGCTTTCAAAATAAAAACTTTAAACTCGAACTTATCAATGATTTTTAAAACTTAATTATATCTTGTCTTTCCTTCTGGGGCCTTTCTGTTTTCAGGACATCATCGACTCGATAGAGTTGATGTTCTGCTGTCGTCTTTCCGGCGTCGACAGATCGATCTCGCGATAAGCAATTAGATCTGAATTGGGCCTAGGTTTCTTTCGAAAACGTTTTGGTAATGGATGGCGTTGGAGATGTTCATAAATATTTCATAAATTTGCAAAGCATTTGGAAAGGTGTCTCTAGATGGGGGATAGCTTTTGCAGGTAGGTAGATGTAAATCCGGGAATAAATTGTCCGATGTCCCAAATAGTGGATCTGCAAAACTGTTTAAGTGGGTCGAGGCTAGTTACTAACGAGATAACGAACCTTATCTGACCAACTATCTTGAGACTGCGAACTGTCTTCTTGTCGTCGATTTCTCTTTCATTCGGGGGTCCTCCCTTTTTCTTTTCTTCCATCTTTAATAATGTTAAGTTCTACGTTCAATAGAAAAATTTTGGTCGATAGGTTCATCTGAATGTGTCACCTTTGAAAGGATATGAATTCGGGGAAAGGTACAATCACATCCTTCAATATTCATAAAAAATGTGGTATTCTGTGTACGTTGTAGCTCCCACGAATAAATCAAAATTTGTGTACATGCTATTCAAAAGATGCGAAAAAGGACTTCACAAAAAATTTAGTTATGAAAATTGTTCGCTATATACTACATGGCTCTGTGAGCAAAAATGTGAAACGATTTAGATTTAAAATGAAGATACGTGTTCCACAAATTTCAGAAAAAAATCAAAATGGCAGCAGTCTGTCACTATACTATAACGTAAGTTGCATCTATTTTGAAATTTATTTTTATACACAAAAATCCACATTTTACAATATAAAATTACAGTAGATCCCCCTATAAGACGGTAGATACGTTCCGTTCTTTATGAATCAATTTTGTAGGAATCATAGTTTACGGACTACGGCTGTTTGAAAGGTTTTCTTTCATAAAATTAATCGATTCTAGACTAATTCAACTAATTCGATTCTAGACATTTCCAAAATACGTAAAATAATCCGTATAAACTACGTTATAAACAAAAAATTGTAGGATTGCTTACCGAGTGTGTACCGTTCGACTACGCCCGTTGCTAAAGCTTGGTTTCGTCGCGGAACAGCGCATCAAACCGCGGCCGCGATTTCTGATATTATTTTTCTGCGAAAACTTCGTTGACCTTTGGAGACATCCTTAATATAAATAATTTTTATGGCCGTTAAATAAGAAATGTTTCTTTCACAAGAAATGTATAAAATTACAGTACTGGACAGACGATAGGTCGCCTAACTCGCCGTAGCGTGACGCTAGACGGCGAAAAATATATATTTAATTATAATAAAGTTACAATAAATTAAGTTAATATATAATTATATATACAGTACCTAATTTATATATAATTAATATATAATTATATGTACAGTACCTAATTTATATATAATTATATGAACAGACGATACTAAACTCAATTTATCCGCCTAAACGTCCGTAGCGTGGCGCTACGGACGGCGGGAAAGTAGTTCGGCTGCCCGATGACGTTTTACGTATTATAGGAGTTATTTTTACCGTTGTTTACGGATACTGCCACAATTTTTATAGGAATCATGACTATAGGAAACGGTTTTATAGGTAGATCTACTGTACAGTATTGCATATAGGAATTATTATGTGTTTATTTTGAAAAATAACTCTTAATATAGGGAATTGTGAAAAAGATAAATTTTACGTTGAAACATGTAAACTACTATCAGTATGTGCAGTTATTAACTGTAATTTAAGGAAAAATTGCAATATAAATGAATAGCTTTAAAATGCACTTTTTCCTTTGTAGGTGTTGATAGAGGGAGATAGTACAATGTCCTACAAATGCAAGATTTGTGATAAGTCGTTGACTAGTAAAAATGGTTTAAGTTATCACATCAAAATCCACACAGGACAGAAACCCTACAAATGTGAAACATGTAATACATGTTTTGCTTGTAAGAGCAGTTTGAATTCTCATCTTAGAATCCACAAAGGAGAAAAACCCTACAAATGCCAAACATGTAATAAATGTTTTGCTCATTACAGCAGTTTCTGTCGTCATCTCAGAACCCACACAAAAGAAAAACCTTACGAATGCAAAACATGTAATAAATGTTTTGCTCATTCCAGCAGTTTTAATAATCATCTCAGAACTCACACAGGAGAAAAACCCTACATATGTAAAACATGTAGTAAATGTTTTGCTCAATTGGGCAATTTGAATAGTCATCTCAAAATCCACAAAGGAGAAAAACCCTACAAATGCGAAACATGTAATAAATGTTTTGCTCAATTGCGCTATTTGAATTGTCACATTAGAATTCACACAGGAGAAAAACCCTACGAGTGCAAAATATGCAATAAACGTTTCAGGAACAGATGCTCTTTATATTATCATCGAAAACTCTACACTGAAGAGAAAACCTACAAATGCAAAATGTGTGATAAATGTTTTCCTGAAGAATGGGTATTAGATTGTCATTGCAAAAGACATTTGAGGGAGAAACTACATCAGTGCGAAATACCCCATCGAAATTTCCTCCCCGGAATGGAAGTGAGTAACAATACAACGGGTTATTCAAATGTAATTTCCAGCGATTATTCCAGCGATCGTCGTTTCGAACAACAAAATAATTTAATTCACCAACTTCCCACTTATTCTGAATACAGACCATTGATATGTCTTGTGTGTAATAGTCAATTTCAAACGGAAGCGAACCTGGATGCTCATCGTGCAATGCACGATCTATACCCATTTAATTGCATTATATGTTTTCAAGTGTTCTGTAGTCATAAGGCTTTAGAAGAACACAAAATAATTCACGAACCATTAGTCAATTCGTTTTAGTATTGCAATAAATGCAGTGTGGCATTTGCTTGGGAAGAAGATTATGAAGTTCATCTTGAATATCAATAATAAACTGATATAAATGTTGTTTAAAAGTTTCGATTGAAAATTTGCCAACAACAATTTTATTGACAATTTTAAGTATTTTAAAGGGATTTTAAAATAAAGTTTATTCAGAAGATAATTAATTTCTTACATTTTTATTTATTTAATACATTTAAATTAAATTTAGTGATAGGATAAAGTATTTCCTCTCATTAAGTAGATATGTGTTTTAGTTAGAAATTGTATTGTAATATTTGATGTCTTAATAATAAGTCTGATGTACAGAATATTTACTAATTAATCAAACGGTTTCGGCTGACTACGTAGCCATACTCGTGATCGATCTGTTAATTAACCTCTAAGTGACCTGTATAAAGATAATGTACATTTGAAATTTTATTTTAAAAGTAATTTAATTTATTGTATAAATAAGAATATAACACAATTGTTTTATAATATCGTATAACTCGTGAAAACATTGATATAATAATTTATATTATTTGCACAGACACATTGATATCCTTTGCAAAAATTCGAAAGGAATGAACTGTAACTGCCAGGACTGTAAAATACAATACATTGTTGATCTGTAAAATAACAAATTATAAATTAGTATATAGGGTTTCATGCTTTATTAGAATATGTCAAATTTATTTACAGAAAAGTCTGTCACTTATCAATCCCATGCATCCAGTAATCCGACACTTTGCAGTGCAGCACATTTGAAATTTTTATGTTACCCATTTTCGATGTTTGTGACAGAGAGACTGATATATGGGTTTATTCTTTAGCGTAATTGCTAGTTGCTTATTGCACGTACGATCACAGTCGTGATTAATACGTAAACTAACATGTGAACCAAGTGCGTCTTTAACTTTACTGTACGTATATTCATTCAAAACTCAGTAATCCGACAATTTGCTAAAATCTGATACCCACCTGTCTGATATATGTCGTATTACAGAGACTATTGTATATGAAAAAGATCGTAAAAGGGAATTGATTGGCCTGCATATTTTCCAGATCTGATTCTTCGAGACTTCCTTTCACTGAGATATCTTGATGATATACACTGTAGTAAAGACAGTGATATGGAGATTAAGCTCGTATCTATGAATAGAGTTCTACACAGACAAGAAAACAAACTACAGGTTGAACGTCTGTATCGGCATTGTTCCCTATTCAGTAAACTCTTCTATTCACTGTATTTTTAGAAATATTAAATACTTGGTTAGATAAAGTTTAAAATTTAAACCTCTTAACTTTTAAAATAAGTTTTAAATTTATTATTTGGATTATTGTTTGACTTACTGTCACCATTGGATATAGTCATACGAATATGCGGTTTCGGTAACCACAAAGACTTTATGACGAGGTAATATGAATTTCCTTATACTATTTGCTGTTGGTACGTTATACGGGTAGGACACCTTGTTACCACAACACCATACTAACTAAAAATATTTAAGTCGGTATTCAGATAACATGACTCATGTATTGAGAAAAATCATCATTAGTCTGAGCAACATTTTGCAGTGTGTCGTGTCAACTTTTGCCTTCAGTCTTGATCTTTAGCTAACATATTAAACAAACTGTAATATTTGCTTTAATGATATTCAAGTAAGAATTGTATACCTTGATAATTATTAAAAAAATATTAAAATTGATACACATTGATAAAAAAAAGTCAATTTACCAAATTTAAGATAAAGAAATTAGGGCATTTGGTTGCTGTTGGTTTTCATTATAAGTGTGATATAAACAAATATATTATTATATATGTGATGTTCAGCAGAATTTCAATTTTGATCATACTTTTACTGGCAAGCCACCAGACAAACCGTCTATTCTATTGTTAACAAGTTTTCCTTCAAAAAAAGATCACAAATGGCCGAGTAATCAGAATGACAGCTCATTGCTCTGTGTACCTGCGATTGAACTTGGATTGGTTAGAAAGCTCCAGCAATTTTTGAAGGGTAGTCCAATCGGATATGTCAAACCATTTACTCTCCACCCAACTGCACATTGTGGATCTGACCAAACTCATAAGTGGCTTGCTATAATGGCTTTCTTAGTGATCGCAAAGAAAGTTTAAAAAATTTCAAAGGCATCTATAAGCATGAATGTGAGAAACTTCTCTACTGTTTATCTTAATGTCAACGGTATACATTCAATAAAATGGAATGTACAAAGTATATATACAGTACATTATATTTTTTCGGCTGTAAAAATGTCATTGTAATTGAATTCTAAATTGCAGACGGATTGGAATATAAAAATTACGACAAAACGTAAATATAATAGATGTCCTATAAGTATTACTTGTGACAAAGTAACAAATTGTTCTTCTTCCTGTAACGAAAATTCACAACTCGATATATCAATTATGCAAAATGGATTTCGTATGCGACCATAATTTTCTGTATTTAAGAACCGCTTATAAGTGCCCCAGTGTAACCAGCAGCATTTTTTGTGAGCGCTAATCCGACTTGAATCACAAAGTTTGAAGCTTCTTACACACTGTACGATGCTGTTTTTATAGCTTATGCTCCCGTTTTCTACTGTCTGCGAGTGCCGCTGCTCAGTTCTCTCTCACTGTGCTTTATCAAGACTCTTCCAACTAATTTCCTCGATACTCTACTTATTAGTGAAATGAGGAACCACAATTTAACAGAATTTATTGCGTAACAGTATCCAATTGAGTTCTAGTTTTTCTACTCGTAAAAGAGAAATGTATAGAAATTATTTCCCAGTAACGCTGATATACTTGAATGTGTTTCAACAAGACTTTGACACCAGATTTCTTAAATGATAATAATGAAGGAGTGGTTTTGATTTTTAAGAAGTAGACGAAAAAGACAATGGTGGTGAACTAAATTGAAATGTGAAGATGGTAATAATACTTTTAATATCTGCAAAAGTCTGTAGCTAAATTATAAAACGTCGAAACTTATTCCATGCAAGACGAGCCAAGTTTTCAGACATGTTTGTTCGTAAACTCCGATCAAGAATACTCACATTTTCAATTTTCTGGGCAACCAAGCAGCGCCGTAACCAGTCTTTTATGCGCCCGATGCGAGTTTCTGAAACTACGCCCCAAAACTATGACTCAAAATTTGGTCCAGGTCATTTCTGAGCCCTGTGCCTAAACACTGCTGGCACCGCCCTAGTTATGACACTGCAACCAAGCAATAATCAAAATGACAGAAGTATTATTTAACTTTTAATAATTGGCAAATATTAAAGACATTGACAGTTTGTTAATTAAACACCTAAAAATTCTGATAGTGTGAAAGAATACGTATTAATAAACACTTTATAATTTTGTCAAAAGAGTTTATTAATCAACCCATATTGAATAAAACGATTTCAAATTTTGTGAAATTTTTAAACATAAAAAGACGAAGAAATATTAAATATAAATTACAGAAAGTAATTTTTATAATACGAAAATATATAAAAAAATAATATTTTCAATCATATTTACGGTTATTCAAATTTAAAACACAACGCCTTTTTATGCAAATTACGTTAAATAATCGACGTGTGTGAGCTTGTAGGTGCTGGAAGATAAAGTGAATTGTTCGTGTAAGTCGACGGAAATTTAAAGAGAAAGTAGGGATTTTTATATTGTGTGAGTATATGAAATATTTTAAAATCAGAGTAATCTCTTACAATTAAAACTTCGTATTGTTGTAAGTGAAATCAAAATTGTTAAATGAAGGGTGTCTTATTCGGCGGATTAGGAAAACAAAATTGAATCTTCGGGCAAAGCTTATATTTTTTATCAGTTATTTAGATATTAATACTTAATAAACGAAGATGAGCCAAATTCTAACGATCAAAGAAATAATGCTTCATCGTTGCACTACTCTGCATACAATAAACACAAATTACTGATGAACACATACAAATTTTTCCATACTATACGATACTTGTTTAGTCGAATCTCAGCAATCCTTTTCTTTATAATAAACGGCAGTTGTTGATAATATACATATACTGTAGACATCGACAGTTATCTAATATTTCCTAAAACCACGTATGGCATTTTGCTTCGAGTATCCTATCTCTTTCTTCTCTAAAAAAAATAATTAAATTCACATAAGATAGTGTTGGTGTAAAATTTCGTAACATCTGGAAATCGGCCAATTAGAAAAAGTGAAATACCTATTTTATTAAGCAGCTTCTCCGGTTTAGTATCGCACAATTTTTAATAGCCTGTTCTATGACAGTTTTTTCAACGAAAATATGCCACATATTTCAAAGGGAAAGCATCAAAAATAATATTTTTCAAAAATTTAAGGGTTTCTTTAACCTTCTTGAAGTCCCTAGAAAAAAGTTCAACTCTGAAAATTCTAAGGTATTTATCAACCTCGCATACATTTGTAAACTCTCTTTCGGTTAGGGATCCGATACCAATTAACTAAGAACTATACGGATATGGTATTCGAACTAATCTATTACGTCTAGTTATGCTATTGTTTTGTTTTGTGTTATTATAAACTTATATTTTTGGATATATTTCCTCCAACTCCCCTAGAAGGATTGCTAAAATGCAGAGCCAAGATGATCGGAAAGGTAGTCAGCATAATCGTTCTCCAAGTGCTCCGGAAGCTAAATGTTCAAAGCTAGAGCATTACTTTAAGAGGCAATCTCCTTCGGACATTAACAAGAAAGGAATGTTATCCTTACGACAGTATTTAGAATCACAGTTAGTGCTGCAGTTGAAGTGTATCGAAGATAAGTTGGCTAATTTGGAATTGGCTAGTCAATTAACTTTGTCCTTAGTAAGAAAACCGGAGAACGACCTTTCTAAATTGTGTTTGCGTTTAGTAAGTTGGAACAACACGATCAATTTCCTTTGGATAATGTCGGTGAGTTGCACTCCTTCGCATACAATAAACAGGTTAATGCTTTCAAAAGGAGCTATTTGATGTCGTTTAACAATAGTGATCCGCATGAGTTACCGTAGATATCCAGGAATATATAGTGAACTTATTGTGTAACGCAATTAATTTATGAGGGTAAAATATTGTTGGTATTTTCCAGGGGCAATTCCTGACTAAAATTATTTGGCATGCTAAAACTTATAAGAATAATAAGCGTATCTCTAGCACTAAAAATAAGCAGAAACGTCATTTGATGTGAATGAAAAAGTATGGACTATTATAAAGCCCCTATATCTGCACATAAAATATATTAGAATAAAAAAGTATTAAAAATTTATGATAATAATTCATAATTCAATTTTTGTAAATCCTTGACACTAAGGACCCAGAGCTTAAGCCTCATTACATAGATCTTACTACGTAGATCCGCCCCTGTACACATTACACGTATGTTGACTGGGTACCGCAAGCATGGCACTGACTTAAAAGGCTACCCGCTAGCTGCCAATATAAAAGCTAACATAAATAGTAAAAGAGTTTACACGTTAGAATAAATTATTATTGGCATATTTGTTCTCATATAAAAAGTATATCAAGAGTCAAAACTTTTTCTTAATTAAGCATGCAGCAATGCCAAGCAAGCACTGAGTATACTTGTATCTCAACTTCATGATTTGGCTTACATTAGTTTAGAATATCATTTAAACTTCGTAAATTTTTTGGAATTTTTCTGGTTTTGGTAATAAACGTTTATTGTTCTCTCAAAATTTGGCATTTGAGGTCGAGTATTTCGTGTTGAATATTTCCATTTTCTCATCATTTTACAGTGGGACTATATTTATTTACTGGTAATAGACCCCCTTGATATAGAGGTGTCGTTTTGCTAGGACCCTTTTTGTTTGCAGTAACTCCAAAGTTGAAATGTTCGAAAATGCAGTTAAGCAGTGCTTTTAAAATAAAAACTTTGAACTCGAACTAGTCGATGATTTTTAAAACTTAATTATATCCTGTCTCCCCTTCTGGGGCCTTTCTGTTTTCAGGACATCATCGACTGGATAGAGTTGATGTTTTTCTGTCGTCTTTCTGGCGTCAAGAGATCGATCCCGCCATAAGCAATTAGATCTGAATTGGGCATAGATTTCCCTGGAAAACGTTTTGGTAATGGATGACGTTGGAGATGTTCCAAAGATTTTATAGATTTGCAAAGCGTTGGTAAGGTGTTCCTAGATGGGGGATAGCTTCTGCAGGTAGGTAGATGTAAATCCGGGAATAAATTGTCCGATGTCCCAAATAGTGGAACTGCAAAACTGTCCAAGAGGGTCAAGGCTGGTGACTAACGAGATAGCGAACCTTAACTGACCAAGTAACTCGAGACTGCAAACTGATTTGTTGTCATCGATTTCTCTTTCATTCGGGGGTCCTCCCTTTTTCTTTTCTTCCATTTTTGGTAATGTTAAGTTCTACGTTTAATAGAGAAATTTTGGTCGTTAGGCTCATCTGAATGTGTCACTTTTGAAAGGATATGAATCCGGGGAAAGGTACAATCACACCCTTCAATCTTCATTAAAAATGTGGTATTCTGTGTACGTTGTAGCTCCAACAAATAAGTCAAAATTTGTGTACATGCAAAGGATGTACACAAATTTTGTTGTAGCTCCAATAAATAAGTCAAAATTTGTGTACATGCTATTCAAAGGGTGCGAAAAAGGACTTCACAAAAAATTTAGTTATCAAAATTGTTCGCTACATATTACATGGCTTTGTGAGCAAAAATGAGTAACGATTTAGATTTAAAATGAAGATACGTGTTTCACAAATTTCAGAAAAAAAAATCAAAATGGCAGCAGTCTGTTACTAAACTATAACGTAAGTTGCATCTATTTTGAAATTTACTTTTGTACACAAAAATCCACATTTTACATTGGAACATGTAAATTACTATCAGTATGTGTAGTTATTAACTGTAATTTAAGGAAAAATTGCAATATAAATGAATAGCTCTAAAATGCACTGTTTTTTTGTAGGTGTTGATAGACAGAGATAGTACATGTCCTACAAATGCGAAATTTGTGATAAATCGTTTACTCGTAAATATGGTTTAAGTTATCACATCAAAACCCACACAGGACAGTAACCCTACAAATGTGAAACACGTAATACATGTTTTGCTTCTAAATGCAATTTGAATCGTCATCTTAAAATTCACAAAGGAGAAAAACCCTATAAATGCCAAACATGTAATAAATGTTTTGCTCATCACAGCAGTTTCTATCGTCATCTCAGAACCCACACAGGTGAAAAACCCTACAAATGCAAAACATGTAATAAATGTTCTGCTTATTTGGGCAGTTTGAATCGTCATCTAAGAATCCACAAAGGAGATAAACCCTACAAATGCGATACATGTAATAAATGTTTTGCTTATTTGGGCAGTTTGAAATATCATATTAGAATTCACACAGGTGAAAAACCCTACAAATGCGAAACATGTAATAAATGTTTCGCTCATTTGCACAATTTGAAATATCANCTACAAATGCGATACATGTAATAAATGTTTTGCTTATTTGGGCAGTTTGAAATATCATATTAGAATTCACACAGGTGAAAAACCCTACAAATGCGAAACATGTAATAAATGTTTCGCTCATTTGCACAATTTGAAATATCATATTAGAATTCACACAGGAGAAAAACCCTACGAGTGCAGAATATGCAATAAACGTTTCAGGAACAGATGCTCTTTACATTATCATCGAAAAGGGTACACTGAAGAGAAAACCTACAAATGCAAAATATGTAATAAATGTTTTCCTGAAGAATGGGTATTAGATTGTCATTGCAAAAGACATTTGAGGGAGAAACTACACCAGTGTGAAATACCCCATCAAAATTTCCTCTCTGGAATGGAAGTGAATAACAATACAACAGGTTATTCAAATGTAATTTCCAGCGATCGTCGTTTCGAACAACAAAATCATTTCATTCAGCATCTTCCCACTCATTCTGAATATAGACCATTGATATGTCTTGTGTGTAATAGTCTATTTTAAACGGAAGTAAACATGGATGCTCATCGTGCAATGCACGATCTATACCCATTTAATTGCATTATATGTTTTCAAGTGTTCTGTAGTCATAAGGCTTTAAAAGAACACAAAACAATGCACGAACCATTAGTCATTTCGTCTTATCATTGCAATAAATGCAGTGTGACATTTGCTTGGGAAGAAGATTATGAAGTTCATCTTGAATATCATTAATAAACTGATATAAATTTTGTTTAAAAATTTCGATTGAAAATTTGCCAACAAGAATTTTATTGATAATTTTAAGTATTTTACAATGATTTTAAAATAAAGTTTATTGAAAAGATAATAAATTTCTTACGTTTTTTTATTGAATACGTTTAAATTAAATTTGGTGATAGGATAAAGTATTTTCTTTCATTAAGTAGATACGTGTTTTAGTTAGAAATTTTATTGTAATATTTGATGTCTTAATAATAATTCTGATGTACAGAGTATATAATAATCAATCAAACGGTTTTGGCTGACTACGTAGCCATACTCGTGATCGATCTGTTAATTAATCTCCATGTAACCTGTATAAAGATAATGTACATTTGAAATTTTATTTTAAAAGTAATTTAATTTACTATATAAATAAGAATATAACACAATTGTGTCATAATATCGTATAACTCGTAAAAACATTGATAAAATAAATTATATTATTTTTACAGACACATTGATATCTTTTGCAAAAATTCGAAAGTAATGAACTGTAACTGCCAGGACTGTAAAATACAATACATTGTCGATCTGAAAAATAACAAATTATAAATTAGTATATAGGGTATCATGCTTTATTACAATATATCTAATTTATTTACAGTAGAGTCTTTATAGTCTGTCACTTTTCAGTCCCATGCATCCAGTAATTAGACACTTAGCAGGGCAGCACCTTTGAAATTTTTATGTTATCCATTGTCGATGTTTGTGACAGAGAGAGACTGATATATGGGTTTATTCTTTAGTGTAATTGCTAGTTGTTTATTGCACGTACGATTACAGTCGTGATAAATACGTAAACTAACATGTGAACCAAGTCCATCTTTAACTTTACTGTACGTATATACAGTAAAGTTATCCGACAACTTGCTGAAATCTGATACCCACCTGTCTGTTATATGTCATTACAGAGACTAATGTATATAGAAAAGATCGTAAAAGGGAATTGATTGGCCTGCATCTTTTCCAGATCTGATTCCTCGAGACTTCCTTTCAGTGAAATATTCAAAAGATATACACTGTAGTGAAGACAGTGATATGGAGATTGAGCTCGTATCTGTGTATAGAGTTCTACACAGACAAGAAAACAAACTATACGTTGAACGTCTGTATCGGCATTGCTTTCTATTCAGTAAACTCCTCTATTCACTGTATTTTTAGAAATATTAAATACTTGGTTAGATAAAGTTTAAAATTTAAACTTTTTAACTTTTAAAATAAGTTTTAAATTTATTATTTGGATTATTGTTTTATTCAATGTCACCATTGGATATAGTCACACGAATAAGTGGTTTCGGTAACAATAAAAATTTTATGACGAGTTAGGATGAATTTTCTTATACTATTTGCTGTTGGTACGTTATACGGGTAGGACACCTTGTTACAACAACACCATACTAACTAAAAATATTTAAGTTGGTATTCAGATAACATGACTCATGTATTTAGAAAAATCTTCATTAGTTTGAGAAACCTGTCGCAGTGTGTCATGTCAACTTTTGCCTTTAGTCTTGATCTTAAGCTAACATATTAAACAAATTGTAATATTGGCTTCAATGGTATACAAGTAAGAATTGTATACTTTGTTGTTAATTATAAAAAATATTAAATTTGATACATATTAATAAAAAAATTTAATCTGTACCAAATTTAAGATAGAGAAATTAGGGTAGATTGGTTCCTGTTGGTTCTCATGATAGGTGTGATATAAACAAATATATTATTATATATGTGATGTACTGCAGAATTTTAATTTCGATCATACTTTTACTGGCAAGCCAGCAGACAAACCATCTATTCTATTGTTAACAAGTTTACCCTCAAAGAAAGATTACTAATGGTCGAGTAATCGGAATGACAGCCTATTGGTGTACCTGCGATTGAACTTAAATTGGTCAGAAAGCTCCAGCAATATTTTGAAGGGTGGTTCAATCGGATATGTCAAACCCTTTACTCTCCACCCAGCTTCCATTGTAGATCTCATAATTGGCTTGCTAAAATGGCTTTCTTAGTGATTGCGGAGAAAGAGTTTAAAAAATTTCAAGGGCATCTAAGCATAAATGTGAGGAATTGGGATAATAACTTGATCTGAAGCGTCCATAGAAAATCACAAGATACTAGATTGCATTCAGACATGTAGAATCTTTAGACTGCTGTCACGTTGAAAAATTTTTTAATTTATTTAAATTATATTGGATACGTAAAGTAAGGACACTTACCATTACTGAAATCGTAAACTTTGACAACACTTGACTGTATATTTCCAACAGTATAATCTCTTTTCACACGGAAGATAATACAAATTGGCGATTCGTGTGAAATCTAAATTTGAGTAATTATTAAAAGTTACTCACGGTATGTTAAAACGTATACATCTAAGCATAATTTTACAAAAAAATTGATAAAATAAGATGGCTCAGAAAGTCATTTAACTATAGTTATGTTTACTCAATACATTTATTTAAGTATTCATATTCAATGCTACCTAGAGAAAGATTTAGCAATCGAAGTAAAACTAAATTTTGTACTAGAAATAACGTTTAAGAACATGCAGATGTTTCTATAAAAAATTAACAATAAGACGCGACAACATGTCGTTTGGTATTGCATATAGCATAAAAGTAGTTTCATTTGGGAACCACTTAAGAATAGTGGTTTATGGATGATATATTGCAAACCTTTAAGCCTTTAAAGATTATTAAGTTGCATGCAAGAAGAATCGCAAAGTATTGGTTATGGACTGGTGTTGAACACACTATTCATCACCTTTAGATTTTACATTTTCAGAATGAGGACAACATTAAACAGTATTTTTACGTTAGCAGAGAAATAAAGTATTTGTCATTATGGCCCTGCAAACAACAAGTTTTAGTACACTTATTAAATATTTTTCTATGGATATGTGTACAGAATTTGTTAAAATTTTACCATACCAAATTCGGTTACAATTCAGCTGATAAATATTTCTCTAGACAGTGTTAAGTTAAGATACTTAAAGATCGTTCTGTATAAAAAACATGATTTAACCATTTGTAAGATATTAATTAATTGGTTAATTGACTTTCATTAGATCCAGTATAAATTACAGTATAAATTTTTCATACATACATGATTCAAATAGAATATAATTTTTTTATCTTTAATTTCATATCTGTCAACAGGACTTTTGTGATCATTAACGAGCTACAAAAAAGAATAATAGTATTATTATTACTTGCAAGTATTCATATATTTTATCAAGAAATTTTGAACTTATCTGTCTGTAGTACTATAGTATTAATTCAAGGATGGCCTAAGATGGCTACACTCTCTGCCTACCATTCTAATGACCTGGTCTGAGTGGACAACGACAGAAATTTGTTAAGTCTCTCCAGGCCTGACATAGCCTGGAAAGACTTAAAAAATGACTTGGTGATATTCAGTCATTTTTATTCCGATCCTGGCCATATACGCAGTAAGAGAAGCTTACTGTACTTAACTAATATGTAAAGGTATGTTTCATATCTTTTGCAATGCAATGTGGTACTTAAGTAAAAGCCTTAATTATATTAATTAACCTATTTTCTTAAAAGTGGGTCTACGCTGCTTAATCATCATACAGCCAAGCCCATAATAGCTCGGTTGCCGGATGATAATGAAGTCAGAATATTGTAGTTTTTAGCAATTACAATTTAATCAAATTAAGAATGAATTTAAATAGTAAAGAAATTAAAGTGTGTTTTATTATGCTATACCAAAATGTGGATGGAATAAAACTTCATCTTCAATTTGAACTATTTTATGAATTGATATAAATAGGCAAATACAATACTTCGACACTCTACCAAGAATGTATGATTTCTATGCTAACTTTTTCCTATTTATTGGGCAAAAGTGGGAAATTGACCGTTTATTACATGTTAGATAGATCAAATAAACCTACAGGGTCATTGTTAAGTGCAAACCGTGCAGCCAACTACCAGTATTCAATGATTTTCACGAAGAGGGGTAACATATTTGATGTTAACCACCGTTGTCTTAATATTGCTAAATACTGGTACTTAGTTGTGGTTTGCACCAGACCAATGGGATGGCTTTATGAATTTTTCTGAATTTTCTTCGTGTGTTTATTATCTAAATTGGGTCAACCTCTTGCAGATTACTTTTCTACTGCATTGGCCTTCTCGTATTTATCTAGTCCAATCGTGTAATCAGAACACCAACAGAATATGTATTAGTGGTGGGTGAAAGCGGAATTATACTTACATTATCTAAATCTCCTTTAATTGGACTGAATCCACTGAATATTCCAGCCTCAATAATTGTCATGTCTGAATCTTCAGTGGAAAGATATCTACAGAGAATTAAAATTAACATGTAATTAAATTCTTGGTACTTCAAATTATATACTTATATATATAATTAACGTGATAATTCGACTTTTATGAAAAGTGGCCATTATGTTATTAAACAGTCGAATGAATTTTTAAATTGCATATAAATCAGTTAACCATTTTCAAAACTTTGTCTATTGTTTGCACGTTAAGATAGTCTTTTAACCATAGCTTTCATCAGTTTGTAAGACTCATTCTAACTAGAACTTCAATCTAGAGTTTTTACAAGAGCAAGAAGATACCTTTATTGTTTTGGTCATCCATCCTATGTTGAATTTTTTATGTTTTTGTTAATATAATTATGAATATGAATGTAAATCCTACAATAAAGATTTGCAATTTAGGTATTGAACAACGAGTTATCTT